GACGGGGGCTGGGCCCCACACATCCATGTGAAGCGTCTGCAGGGGAGCCTCTGTCGGGGGGAAGTGGGAGGAGTGAGGAGTAGCCCGGAGGCGACCCTCGACACAGGGGACACAGGAACGTCCTGGCCCGGAGGGGAGAGGAGGGAGAGACCGGGGAAGACCAGAGACAAGGACACGGGAAGCCATGCTCCGAAGACGGGGCAAGGAGGGGTGGCCAAGACGGTGGTGCCACAGGAGAGTCTCGTGAGACAGGAGGCGACAAGTACAGGGGGCAGACTCAGGACCAGACCTGGACGCAGCAGCAAACACCTGACCTGACGCTGCTACCTGACCGGACGCGGGGACAGGAGGAGACTCAGTGGTCAGGGTGTAGAGGCTCGACCCCGGCCGACGCGAGAACGTGGCCAGGTGCCGGCCTGTGCGTGCGTCCGTGCAGTGGGTCACCCGCTGACTCGCAGGAGTGAACTGGTGAACCCCCGCATCCTGTAGGTCTGCACCACTCACCAAGTTCGTCGAGAAGGAGGGGAGGTACAGGCCAGACAGGGTGCCCGAGGGGGCAGCCGGACACGGGAGGACAGTGGAGAAGTGAGCGAGGACAGGACCCCCAGAGGGGTCAGCCAGGGAGACTGCAACCGGCCGACCAAGCGGCGTGAGTGTGGTGCGGTCCCGAAAGAAGGAGCGAGAAGCCCCAGAGTCAAGTGTAAAGGTGAGGGAGGCCGAAGCCAACGCGGTACCTGAGAGCGCAGCCTCACCCGCACCTGAGGAAGCAGACTCACTAGCACCTAGAGCAGCAGCCGCACCTGTACCTGGAGCAGGAGACTCACTAGCACCCAGAGCAGCAGCCTCACCAGTAGCTAGAGCAGCAGGTCCTATACCTGGGTCAGGCGGGACGCACAGGTGACCTGCACGGTCAGCACTAGTAGGCAATGCATACATGGCAGTGAGAATAGCATCATAGTCAAGAGCATATATATCTACCCTCTGCCTAAGCAACTCCACCCAGTCGGGAAGCTCAGCCTCGTCGCCAAACACGGTACGCCAGGCGTCGCTCAGACGGGCGAAGCAGCGGGACGGTGTATGACTACGTGTCCCACAAGGCTGACCAGTCCGAGTACCAGTGCGAATCACGTAAGAGCAGCGAACAGCACTAAGAGACCCTCCACTCTGAGCGTACCACTCACGAAGCTGGCGAGGCGTGAGAGACACGCGAGAGGGTCGCGGGAGCTGCATCTGGCCGCCACCACGAGTAGAAGCAGCAGGAGTGGTAGTAGGAGTAGCGTCGCCACCCCTACAGCCCCAACCAGCGTACCACTCACGCAGCTGCTGCGGCGTGAGGGACTCACGCCGGCGTCGCTGGGGCTGCATTTGGCTCCGCAAGTAGAAGCAGGAGCAGGACTAGCAGCAGGGAGGCAGGCAGCCAGGCAAGCCAAAAGGCAGGCAGGCAGGCAAGCAGGCGACGCGCAGCGTGCTAGCAGGGCAAGAGCTCACCAGTGGTGGGAAGAGTAGGTTCGGCGACTCAGCGGCTCGGCAGCTCGGCGGCTCGGCGGCTCGGGCGACTCGGGCGGCTCGGCGGCAAGGCGGCTCAGCAGCAACTGCAGCTCAGTAGCTCGGTGACTCGGCGGCTCGGCGGCAGGGCGGCTCGGCAGCAACTGCAGCTCAACAGCTCAGCGACCCGGCGGCTCGGCGGCAGGGCGGCTCGGCTGTGGGGCGGCTCGGCTGCTGCAGGGGAGATGAAGGAGGAGGAGAAGCAGGGGAGGCCACACACCTGCCACCCCTCTGCTGCGGCCCCCGAAGGAGCCGCGACGGGCGACGGGAAAAGGGGGGGTGGGTGGTGGGGGGCCGGTAGGTGCAGCGGCGGGGCCAGCAGGTGCAGTTGCGGGGCCGGTAGAAGGGGACGGCAGGAGCCGTCAGGAGGGGACGGCGGGGCCGTCAGGAAGGGACGGCGGGGCCGTCAGGAGGTGACCGGGCCGCGACGGGGGCAGGCGGCGGGGCCGCGTAAGGGCCTGGGCGGGGCCGCGACAGAGCCGTCGGCGGGGCCGCGTGAAAGCCGGGGCGGGGCCGCGTAGAAGCCGGGGCGGGGCCGCGCGAGAGCAGGCGGCGGGGCCGCGAAGGAGCCGGGGCGGGGCCGCGTGAGAGCAGGCGGCGGAGCCGCGTAAGGGCCTGGGCGGGGCCGCGACAAAGCCGTCGGCGGGGCCGCGTGAAAGCCGGGGCGGGGCCGCGTAGAAGCCGGGGCGGGGCCGCGCGAGAGCAGGCGGCGGGGCCGCGAAGGAGCCGGGGCGGGGCCGCGTGAGAGCAGGCGGCGGGGCCGCGACAGAGAGGGCGGCGGGGCCGCGTCAGTGAAGGCGGCGGGGCCGCAGGGGAAATGGCGACCCGAGGGGTCGCTAAAAAAAAGATCGCGCCTCGGGGGGCGCTTCGGTGGGCCCAAAAAAAAAAAACGGTCCGTAGAAGGACCCGCTCTATACCATGTGAGAATAAGCGAACAGGAATAAATGAACTAGCAGTGAAATGAGTACAAGTAGGAAACCCTAGAATTGTGTACCCCCTATAGGCTAACCCACTGTAGCCTACACAAGCATAACATATATAATGTTTGACACCCACGTGTCAGCCAGCGCGCGTCGAAGATTCCTTGCTCCTCGAGGTTAGTCTTGCAAAACACCTGCTGCAGATTCTGGAACTTCTGGTACTTGACACCACTTCGCCCAAGAATGTTTGAGAATGCGCGGACCACCTCGTCCACCATGCTCAGCTCCGGGACCGCTTCAGCTGCGTCCTTGGCGGCAAGCGCCTCCCTGCCACAAGGCAACCAACCAGGTTAGTCAGATGAGTACAACGATTAAGCACACCGCGGTCTTTATTTACCATGCAAATTGGTGACCTACCGATGGGCGATGCAGTGCGTCGAAACAAGATGTGGAATCCGCGATCTGAGACGGGTCGCGACGCCAGGGTTCTGCCCTGCCATGACACTGGCCCCGTCCGTTGAGAATGCACTTATTTTCTGCAAGTCAAGTCCAGTTTGCGTCAGATATTGCACGAGAACAGACGTCAGCGATGCAGCGTCACATCGGTCAACTGTGAGCAGCGTGATGAACTCGGTTGCCACCTCCCTAGCTTTGAAGAAAGTGCTGTAGACAATCAAATGCTTCCCGTGAATTCTGTCCGTGCTCTCGTCGACCGCGAGGCCGATCCAAGGGGAGTCAAGGAGGTGCGACCGCTGTGATTCTTGCAGATATGTGGAGATAGCCCGCAAGTTCTCTTTGAAACCATAACTGCATAGGGAAACATACACGATTTACATAAGTACTTCATCCAGTGGTATGCGGCCAAAACATCGCCATACTGAATAACACACCTGCTCTGTGTAGTAGGCTCCATATCCGCCTTCCCGAGATAGGTCCGGAAGACCCTCCTTCGCCAGGAACCAACACAGCGGTACAAACATGGCAATAGGAGCGTCAGCCTTACAAATAAATAAAGCGATGTGGAGAATGCGGATGATATGGCGCGTGGCGGCGTTTTTCGTCTGCCACAGCGTCAACATGGCCTGCCTCTATTTGTCCGCCTCCGCGCGTTCTTGCTCTTTCAGGGCTTGCTTGTGAGCTCGGGTCGAAATGCGCGTCCTGATGCTACCGATCTGCAGATCTCGTGCGCCCTCACCCCTCACGCCGTAGCTGGTGTGCGCAGCAGGGTCTCCATACTTGATGCAGATGTCGCACTTAAGCCCAGGTCGCCCGTCCTTTTTGTGCACGAGACGCAACCACGAAAACTTCCCAGACCATTCGGTGTCGAATCGGTGCTTGATGAGATCGAACGTTGCCTCTTCCGCCGTCTTCGAACATCATCCTCCTCGCGCTCCGCCGTTTTGGGAGGAGATGCAGAAGTGCGTGGTGGCGGCGCGCCCCATAGATGCTGCTGGATGTATTTTACACCCACGCGTTGACGTTTCCCGGGCGCACTCTGCGCAGTTGATGGAGTCTCTGTGACACCTCTGGAAGATCCCTCACCACCGCCTGGAACAAGGACAATTGAGGGGTGTGGCTCGAATGCAGAGGGTGAGTTAGGAGGCTCAAACGGGTACACGACACAACCGTGTTGCACGGGAGAGGGAGCACGAGGCACTTGCTCGACGGGAGTACTGTAATCTTGCGATAGTGGCGGAAGAACGCCAAGCACGTAGAGGCCGTTTTGGCGAGGTTCTGGTGGATCCGCGGAATCATGCTCGGCTGGCATGATTGGTAAGCAGGAGAGGTAGGTGTGGGGGTGGAACAATGAAACTCCTGGTGAAGAAAGAACGGGGCGAGCAAGAAAGGACCCCCTTCCTTTCACAACCACCCACCCACGAAGCGCCCATGCATGCATGGATCAGATCCGTGCAGCACGTGAAGATGCAGTGTGGTGTTGGCAGTTCCTTCACCTTCAGCAACTTCAGCGCGCTGCCAAGTAACGCTGGCAAACATATCTGCCTGGGTGGCAGATATGTTGTCAATCGGCCCGATGGTGGGTCTCCGCACAGCGGGGGAAAAATTGTCCACCGCACGTTGGGAACACAGCGCAGGGCGGCAGGGCGTTACGTGAGGGGTGCAGTGAATCTGGGCGAATCCTCGCTAAGGGAGACTCGGTTTCAGGGTAACTCAGAACAGAACCCACCCTTTCTACACAGGGAAACGAAACGCCTACGCTGAATTTGTAAGGGTAATAAAAAAACCATTGATTGGAAGAAGGGTAACATAAACCATAGCCGGTCTAGATCAGGGTAACAAGAACCATATTTTGAGCCCTGCCCACCAGTGCTAGTCATGCCCTAAACCCTTGCAAACCCCCTTGCAAATCCCTGCACACCCCTCCTAGAGCACAAGGTCGGGAAGCAGCAGCTGCTGCTGCTTGCGCTCCTCCTCGTCCTCCTCATCCATCTGCCTCAACTCCGCAATTCTCTCCCTTCACATGCCCTCCACCACCTCCCCTTCCACCTCTCCTTAAGGCACTACCACACACCCCTCCTACAGCACAAGGTCTAGCAGCAGCAGCTGCTGCTCCCGCTCCTCCTCGTCCTCCTCATCCATCTGCCGCAGCTCCGCAATCCGCTCCCTCCACATCCCCTCCACCACCTTCCATGTCTCGTCGCTCACCGCCTGCACCTGCTGCGGCCGCGGCGCCCCAAAGGTGGCGTAGCCGGAGTTGCCCGGGTGGAAGGTGACTCGCCCGGGGAGGGAGGCGCCGTGAATGCCCCACCTGCCCTGGTGGACCAACACTGCATACTCATCGATAGGTCGCACTAGGGGCTGTTATTAGGGGGGGGAGGGGAGATAGAGTGGGGAGAGAGGGGAATGGAGGGAGGGAGGTTCCGTGAATGCCCCACCTGCCCTGGTGGACCAACACTGCATACTCATCGATAGGTCGCACTGGGGGCTGTTATTAGGGGGGGGAGGGGAGATAGAGTGGGGAGAGAGGGGAATGGAGGGGGGGCATGCGGTATGGAGTGAGATTCAGGAATGGAGATGGGATGGGGATGGAGAGGTGACAGGGAAGGAAGGAAGCCGGAAGGAAAAATGTGCAGGGTGTTATCGAGAATTCTCAAAAACACCCTGCTACACCAACTTCCAACGTGTTTAAAGAAGTGTTTTGAGACTTCCTCCATTTACTATTTGAAGACCCTAGGTCTCAAAACACTTCCTCAAAAACACCCTGCTACATCAACTTCCAACGGACCTAACACGCACACCTGCAACTAAGAAACACACATATCACAAGCACATACCTGGGGAAACTTGGGAGCAGCATCATAGATCCTGAGAATGGCGTCTCCTGTCACCTCGCCCTCCTCCAACAGACGCTCTGAGTGGGTTAAGAGGGGTGGTGTGCGGTTGAGGGGGGTGGTATCCAGTTGAGGGGGGTTAAGTGTTGTACGGGGTTGTTAGGGGGGTTATGTGTGGGTAGGGATGGAGGAATGGTGGCACAAGTTTTTGAGTCGAGTTTTTAGTCGACTCAAAAACAAGAGAGGGTATAATGGGCGGAGCAGCAGAGAAGATGCGGTGGATGGCGTCTCTTCTCCTGTCACCTCGCCCTCCTCCAACAGACGCTCTGAGGGTGTTCAGGGGGATGGTGTGCGGTTGAGGGGCCAGGGGGTGGGGAGAAGGGGACAAGTGAGGGCAAGATGGGAGGAGGACAGGGGGGTATGTGTGCGTGCTGTTGATGGCGTCTCCTGTCACCTCGCCCTCCGCGTGTGATGAGTCGGTTTCTGAGTCGACTCAAAAACCGACTCATCACACGCGTGAGGGCAAGATGGGAGGAGGACAGGGGGGTATGCGTGTGTGCTGTTGATGGCGTCTCCTGTCACCTCGCCCTCCTCCAACAGACGCTCTAGGTGAGTTCAGAGGGGTGGTGTGCGGCTGAGGGGAGTACGTGCGATGTTTTAGGCATATGTGTATGGGTTAAAGGGTGGGGAGGTGGGAAATACGGTGAAGCGCGTCTCCTGTCACCTTGCCCTCCTCCAACAGACGCTCTAGGTGGGTTCAAGGGGGTGGTGTGCGGTTGAGGGGGGAATGTGCGTTTGAGGGGGGAATGTGCGGTTAATGGTGTGTTGGGTTATGTGTGAGTGGGGGTGGAAACGAGGTGGACCAATGAAGGGCAATATGTTGGGGCAGCAGTGAAGATCTGGTGAGGGGGTAGGTGGGGGAACGGGGGTGGTGGTGGATGGGTGGGGTGGGGAGCACGAAGGGGGGAAGGTGGGAGGGGGAGGGATGTGTGGAGTGGAAGGTAAGGGTTTTTTGAGGGAGGGGGAGGGATGTGTGGAGTGGAAGGTAAGGGTTTTTTGAGGGAGGGGGAGGGATGTGTGGAGTGGAAGGTAAGGGTTTTTTGAGGGAGGGGGAGTGATGTGTGGAGTGGAAGGTAAGGGTTTTTTGAGGGAGGGGGTGTGGGGGTTGTTCTTACCTGCAATGGTGTCCACAGCTGATCTGTACTCTTTAAGAACAGCCTCGCATTTCGCCTTGGAGTAGCGCATGTACTCTTCCCTTAGAGCGATGACCTTGGGAATGAGCTGTATGGGAGGAGGGGAGAGGAGAGGAGAGGAGAGGGGAGGAGAGGAGAGGAGAGGAGAGGAGAGGAGAGGAAAGGAGAGGAGAGGAGAGGAGAGAAATGAGTGCTTGTGAGTTATGTTAAGGAATCTCAATGCACACTCGCATGCGACATTAAGTCCTTGTCTGTCTCATAAACCACCCACCTTCCCCAGAGCTCTCATCCCCTCATCACTGCTTCTCATACACCACTGCGGTGCCAAATATGTCTAGTATATGAAATATATTATACATGACATTGGCGTATACATATATATTAGCATCATGTACACTCACATGCGGCATAAGGTCCTTCTGTGTCTCGTAAACCACCTTCCCCAGCGCGCTCATGCCGCTCCTCAGGATGACATAGTCTGCCAGTTGAACCGCTTCCCTATAGGCCACCCCCGCCTGCCAGCTCACATTCGCCGCCCCAAACACCATGCGCTCCATTATAGCGGCTGCATGGCAAGTGGAGAGAGGACAGGAATAGGCGGGGGTGAGAGGCAAGGAGTCAGGAATTTGCCGCTCCTCAGGATGACATAGTCTGCCAGTTGAACCGCTTCCCTATAGGCCACCCCCGCCTGCCAGCTCACGTTCGCCGCACCGAACACCATGCGCTCCATGATAGCAGCTGGGGGGGTGAAGCAGTGGGGCAAGGCCTGGGAGTCAGGTCATTGTGGCTCCTCAGGATGACATGGTCTGCCAGTTGAACCACCTCTCTGTACGCCACCCCTGCTTGCCAGCTCACGTTGGCCGCTCCAAAAACCATGCGCTCCATGATAGCAGCTGCAAGGCAGGTGGGGAGAAAGGGGCAGGGAGTGGGGCGAGCAAGTCAGGCAAGTGCCGCTCCTCAGAATGACATGGTCTGCCAGTTGAACCGCCACTCTGTACGCCACCCCTGCTTGCCAGCTCACGTTGGCCGCTCCAAACACCATCCTCTCCATGATAGCAGCTGCAAGGCAGGTGGGGAGAAAGGGGCAGGGAGTGGGGCGAGCAAGTCAGGCAATTGCCGCTTCTCGGGCTGACTTTTGAGTCGACTCAAAAGGCAGCTGTAAGGCAGGTGGGGAGAAAGGGGCAGGAAGTGGGGCGAGCAAGTCAGGCAAGTGCCGCTCCTCAGAATGACATGGTCTGCCAGTTGAACCGCCACCCTGTACGCCATCCCTGCTTGCCAGCTCACGTTGGCTGCTCCAAACACCATCCTCTCCATGATAGCAGCTGGTTGGTGGGGTCGGGGTGTGACGAGCGAGGCAAGAGATTCAGTGAGACAGCCGCAGGGCTCTCAGGAAGATGGCCAAGTGAACAAGGAAGTGGGTCCTCAGGATGACATGGTCTGCCAGCTGCACCGCCTCTCTGTACGCCACTCCTGCTTGCCAGCTTACGTTGGCCGCTCCAAAAACCATTCTCTCCATGATAGCAGCTGCAAGGCAGGTGGGGAGAAAGGGGCAGGGAGTGGGGCGAGCAAGTCAGGCAAGTGCCGCTCCTGAGGATGACACAGTCTTGCCAGCTCACGTTGGTCGCACCAAACACCATGCGCTCCATTATAGCAGCTGTTACAGAGGGGGAGGGTGAGACGGAGATGACAGCATGTAGGTGGGGCATCACTCCAGCTCCTGAGGATGACTTAGTCTGCCAGTTGAACCGCCTCCCTATAGGCCACGTGAAAACAGAAGTGTTTTGAGACGTCTCAAAACGCCTCCCTATAGGCCACCCTGCCTGCCAGCTCACGTTGGCCGCACCAAACACCATCCTCTCCATTATGGCAGCTGTTTGTGAGGGGGGTTGCTGACATGAGTGGTGGTTGAAGGGACATGCGCTCAAACCACACTGAAACGCCCCAAACCGCTCTGAACTACCCTCGATTACACTAGATTCCCCCAAACTGCACTGGCAACCCCAACCGCACTCGAATCCCCCGAACCGTGCTGAACCGCTTCACTCGCGTGCGAAGGCGCGCACGATAGCGTCGAGCATGTCCTGCTTGACGGCAAAGCAGCGGTGGCACGAGCGAGCAGACACGCTCTTACCCATGTGACTTTTGAGTCAAATCAAAAGACTTTTGAGTCGACTCAAAAGTCACCTCTTACCCATGTGAAACGCACCAAACCTCGCTGCAACGCCCCAAGCTGCACATGCACTATAACGCTCCGAACCACACTAGTTTCCCTCAAACCGCACTGAACCACATCACTCACGTGCGAAGGCGCGTACGATGGCATCGAGCATGTCCTGCTTGACAGCGAAGCAGCGGTGGCGCACCCTCTCATGCTCCAGGTTGGGGAGAGGATCAACGTTGTCAAGAGACGTCTGGCGGGGAGGGGGGTGGGGGCAAGGTGAGAGGGGAAGCATAACTAAGGGGGGGAGGAGAGCAGTATTGGGTGCCAGCGGTAGCGCACCCTCTCGTGCTCCAATTTGGGGAGGGGGTCGACACTGTCGAGAGACGTCTGACAGGGAGGAAGGTAGAAAGAGGGGTAATGTTTGGGGCCAGGTGGAAATGAAGGAGAGGTTTCATGTGCTGCTTGATGGCAAAGCAGTCCAATCGAGCCCCATTTAGAGGCCATGGTGCAATACGTGGCTGCAATTTGTTGAAAGTGACACCGGAGTAGGGGTGGAAATGAAGGAGAGGTTTCATGTCCTGCTTGACGGCAAAGCAGCGGTGGCGCAACCTCTCATGCTCCAGGTTGGGGAGAGGATCGACATTGTCCAGAGACGTCTGATGGGAGGGGTGCGTAAGAGGTCTGATGGAAGGGGTGCGTAAGAGGCAGCAATGAGCATTTGAAGCGTGTAGAAACTCATTCAATTTAGAACTCACCCTCTTGATCGGGCCTGACCTGATCTGTCCGGCAGGGCGCACTCCAACACAGCAATGGAGGCCTCGCGATAAGCCCAACAGAGGCACAGGCAAGCAGAGTAACACAGACACATGCACAGACATGCTTACATACACACATTCTCACCCTCTTGATCGGGCCTGATCTGTCCGGCAGGGCGCACTCCAACACAGCAATGGAGGCCTCACGATAAGCCGCCCGCATGCGCACCTCCCGGCTGTCTAACACGTCCTCCTCGCCTGTTTTGAACTCGCCAGCTTGCTGCAGGAATGGAACAGGGGTATGCATGGAAAGGCACAAGGCAGGCAGGATGGTTGGGTTGGGGTTCAGGCCTCACGGTAAGCCGCCCGCATGCGCACCTCCCGGCTGTCTAACACGTTCTCCTCTCCCGTCTTGAACTCGCCAGCTTGCTGCACGCACGATTGGGAAGGGGGATGGGAGGGTAAGGAGTTATCCCTCTGCAGTAAGCTGCTCGCATGCGCATCTCCCTACTGTAACACACTACTCCGACTTTTGAGAATTCTCAAAACTAATACGACTTTTGAGAATTCTCAAAACTAATACGACTTTTGAGAATTCTCAAAAGTGCTCGCATGCGCATCTCCCTACTGTAACACCACTAATATGACTAAACCTGGTATACACCTAGAAGACCGAGCTTTGACCTGGTCAACGCCCCCCCACAGGCTGACTTACCCCGTCGTTTTTTAGAATTCTCAAAAACAACCTGCAAGACCGTGCTTTGACCTGGTCAACGCCCCCCCACAGGCTGACTTACCCGGTCAATGGCTTGAAGCAGCTCCTCCCTTTCAATCTCATCCTTATCCTTGCGGATGGCTAGAATAGCCGCTTCATTGCTGACAGTGGTGTGATGCAGTGGAGAGAGGTTGAGAAGGCGCAGAAAGGGTTGGCAAGGGGTGATAAGGGGTGAAAAGGGGGAGCATATTGGGTTAAGGCAGGTTGTAATGCTAAGTGAGAAGCGGTGGCTGGTCTACCTTGCTGGATGAATGCGTAGGGTACAGGGTAAAATGTATACCTCGCTCGTTGTTATCATTAATATGACTATTTAGAATATTACTCACAGGATATTCATAAGCTCGGCTCCACTGTAGTTGAGTGTAGCAGCGGCTACTCCCTCGGGAGCATTCTAGCCAAGTGCAGCAGCAGATGTGGCTGCGTCTATAAATGGAAAAGATTCCAAAAATAACTTACAGGATGTTCATAAGCTCCGCTCCACTGTAGTCGGGTGTAGCAGCGGCTATCTCCCTCAGGAGCTTCAGCTTCTCCTCTTCCGACTTGAACGCCTTGTTGCGCGCATGCACCTTAACAAGGAAGACAATAACGGGGATAAAGTTGACAGAATATCAGAGAGGGGTAAGGGGGAGGAGGAGGGGGGAGGGGGGGAGAGAGTTTCAGCTTCTCCTCTTCCGGCTTGAACGCCTTGTTGCGCGCGTGGACCTTAAAAGGGAAGACAATAACGGGGATATAGGGGAGAAGCAGGGGAAAAGGGAGCTTCAGACTTGAAAGCCTTGTTGCGCGCGCACACATTAACGGGGAAGGCAACGGTGGGGATATAAGGGAAGCGGTAATAAGGAGAACAAGGGAAGGGGAGGCGGTGGGAGGGTGTGGAGAGAGGAAGAAGTGGGGAGAGACGGGGGAGAACTGTCCCTCCTCCTTGGCAGCCCCACACACGCACACCACCTTGCAGAAACCAGCCACGGAACAGCTTTCTCCTGAACCCACATGAGCGATCAACATGCAACATTATCTTCTTGATCTCACCTTCAGTCTTCAGGGCACAACTCGTTCTCACTTTGAGCACTGAGAATCGCCCCTCCTCTGTGGGCAGACCAGACCCGCGCGCACCACCTTGTCAAACCGCCCCTTGCGCAGCAGATGAGCCAGCACCCTCCTGAATCCACCTCACCAATCCACTTGAACTCACTTTGAGCACTGAGAATCGCCCCTCCTCTGTGGGCAGACCAGACCCGCGCGCACCACCTTGTCGAACCGCCCCTTGTTTGAGGCAAGGCGTAGAATAGGGCAAAGCAGCCCTATCAATCCACATGCATGGGAAGTAAACACACTCACTCATACCTTGAGCACTGAGAATCGTCCTTCTTCTGTGGGCAGTCCCACGCGCACCACCTTGTCGAACCGCCCCTTGTTTAAGGCAAGGCGTAAAATAGGGCAAAGCAGCCCTATCAATCCACATGCATGGGAAGTAAACACACTCACTCATACCTTGAGCACTGAGAATCGTCCTTCTTCTGTGGGCAGTCCCACGCGCACCACCTTGTCGAACCGCCCCTTGCAGTTGAAGGCAACGTGAGGGACAAGCCAAGGGCAAGCAATCCTTCCATTCCAGCATGCATGTAAGCACGAGAGAACCAAACACACCCATTCGTACCTTGAGCACGGAGAACCGCCCCTCCTCGGTTGGCAGACCCACGCGCACCACCTTGTCAAACCGCCCCTTGCGCAGCAACGCAGGGTCGAGCATGTCTAGACGGTTGGTGGCGCCGATGACCAGCACCTGGAGGGGAGGAGAGTGGGTAGAAAAGGGTAGGTGGCTGGGTGGGGGGTGACACAGAGGGGATGCGTGCATACACCGCAGCAGAGCAGGGTCCAGCATGCCAAGACGGTTGGTGGCGCCAATGACCAGCACCTGGAGGGGAGGAGAGTAATGGGGGGGAACAGGGGGGGATATGGGAGACGAACGTCAGGGCAACAGAGGGGCAGCAGCGCTGGGTCGAGCACCTGGAGGGGAAGGTAGAGGACAGGGAGGGGGCAAAACAGGGGGAAGGGCGGCGGAGGAAAGGGGGGAGATGGGGGGAGAGGATGGATTAATCAGCCCCATGCGCACCACCTTGTCGAACTGCCCCTTGACGCCGATGACCAGCAGCACCTAGAGGGAAATAGCAGGAGGAAAAGAGGCGGGCGGGGCAGGATGGGGGGAGAGGATGGGATAAAGGAGCACCACCTTGTCAAACCGCCCCTTGCGGAGGGGTGGTCGAGTGCATTGCATAAGGCGCCCCTTGCGCAGTAGCGCAGGGTCGAGCATGTCCAGTCGGTTAGTGGCACCAATGACCAGCACCTGGAGGGGAGTAGCAGAGGGTAGGTGGGGTGGGGGGGTGTCACAGAGGGATTGGGCCTCTAGAGGCCCCCTTGCGCCACCGTGTCAAACCGCCCCTTGCGCAGCAGAGCAGGGTCGAGCATGTCAAGTCGGTTGGTGGCACCAATGACCAGCACCTGAAGGGGAGGGGAGGAGAGGGGGGGGTAGTTGGGGTGGGGGGTTGTCACAGAGGGGTCGAGTGCATTGCATAAGGCGCCCCTTGCGCAGCAGCGCTGGGTCCAGCATGTCCAGTCGGGTAGTGGCGCCAATGACCAGCGCAGGAGGGTGCATGGGACTGCATGGGGGAAAGCAGCAGAGAGGGTGGGTTCATATAGCCGCGTACGCAGCAGCGCAGGATTCAGCATGTCCAGACGATTGGTGGTGCCAAGCCAATGACCAGAGGGAATGAGAGGAATTCAAGGCATGAGAGCATCCATTACGTGTATGAAGATTTGTTTTGAGACGTCTCAAAACGATTGGTGGGGCCAAGCCAATGACCAGAGGGAATGAGAGGAATTCAAGGCATGAGAGCATCCATTACGTGTATGAAGATTTGTTTTGAGACGTCTCAAAACGATTGGTGGTGCCAAGCCAATGACCAGAGGGAATGAGAGGAATTCAAGGCATGAACATCCATTCCATTTCCCCCTTTGCATCTGATTGCACCTTCCCTGCTTTCCTTTCTATCATCACTTACCTTAGCTTGACCTGGTTGATTCTATCAAGTCCCCCACCCTCTTTTTTTATTATGTTTACTTTTTTTAATATTTAATTATTTATTTTAATCACCCTCGATATCTCACCTCCCTATAAAGTCACGCACCTTAGCTGGCCTGGTTCTCCAGGCCTGGCTGAATCCGTCCAGCTCTGTGAGGATCTGAATCAGCCCCTGCTCCCCCCACTGCCACACCCTCCGTCCTTTCTCTTATTTTGGTGCCACTTTCCCTACCATCACCTGCCTCTTATATCACCTGCCTCTTATATCACCTCTCCTTTCGTTACAGGTGTGTTTTGAGTCGACTCAGAACACCCTTGGTGCCACTTTCCCTGCCTCTTACATTACCTGCCTCTTATATCACCTCTCCTTTCGCTACAGTCACGCACCTTGGCCTGGTTCTCTTGAAAGCCATCCAGCTCTGTGAGAATCTGAATCAGCCCCTGCTCCCGCTCGATGTTGCCCTGTATTTGCAACATCCATGCAAACAAAAGGAGAGTGGAATGGTAAAACAGAAAAGGCATTTGAGCTGACCCAAAAATCAAATAATGGGAGAGTGGAAGGGAAAAGAAGGGAAGACAGAAAAGAGAGGAACAAAAAAACAAGCTGCTGAAGCATGTGGGGAACCAAGAAAAGGAACAACCAACGACAAAAAAAATCATCACCGAATAACGATGGCATCGATTTCATCAATGAAGATGATGGCCGGAGCGAACCACTGCCACACTCCCAACCCCACACTCCCTCCCCCCTCCATCACTCGCTCACCCCTCCCTGGTCGCTGGCCGTGCCTCTCTTGGACCCGATCGCATCGATCTCATCAATGAAGATGATGGCCGGGGCCAGCTACCACACTCCCACCCCCACATTCTCCACCACTCGCTCCCTCACTCCCTCACTCGCTCCCTCACTCCCTCACTCGCTCCCTCACTCGCTCCCTCACTCCTTCCCCTCACCTACTCACCCCTCCCTGGTCGCTGGCCGTGCCTCTCTTGGACCCGATCGCATCGATCTCATCAATGAAGATGATGGCCGGGGCGAACTGGCGCGCTCTGAAAAACAGGTCTTTCACTCTCGACGCTGCCACTCCTGCAAACATCTGGTGGGTGGGGGGAAAGACAGTGAGGGGCGGAAGGGGGGGGGGGCTAGGAAGCAGAGAGAGGCAGGCATCGATCTCATCAATGAAGATGATGGCCGGGGAGAACTGGTGTGCTCGAAAGAACAGGTCTTTCACTCTCGACGCTGCCACTCCTGCAAACATCTGGTGTTGGCAGGTGGAAAGAGAGACGGAGAGAGAATGACATGGGATGAATGAAGGTGATGGCTGCGGGAAACCGGCGTGCTCGAAAGAACGGATCCTTGCCTCTTGAGGCCGCCACGCCTGTGGGGTGGGGTGGGGACGGGGCTAAGTTTAAGCAGCATGTGGGGAAAGGGGCGGAATGGGAGGGGGTTGACTTTTGAGTCGACTCAAAAGTCTTGAGGCCGCCACGCCTGTGGGGTGGGGACGGGGCTAAGTTTAAACATCTGCATGTGGGGAAAGGGGCGGAATGGGAGGGGGGCGAACCGCCGTGCCCGGAAAAAAACAGCCATCCCTCTCCAAGCTCAAACCAGCAAACCAAACTCACCTCCACAAATTCAGCACCAGAAACCGAAAAGAACGGCACCCCAGCCTCCCCAGCAATCGCCTTCGCCAGCAAAGTTTTTCCGGTTCCGGGCGGGCCGAACAGAAGCACGCCCTTCGGGCAGTACACACCCAGGTCCTCGAATTCTTTGGCTGCCCGAAGGATCCGCACCACCTCCTGCAGCTCTCGCTTCACGTAATCCTGCCCGGCAAAATCGTCAAACGTGATTCCGGTCTTTTCTTCTGCTGAGATATACCGTGCCCTGGGATTAGGAAGCAGGAGAAGGGTGGAAGAAAAGGAATTGAAATGGGTGGGGGGTGGTGAGATGAGGTGTAGAGGGGTGGGGCTTGGTGCAGTGCGGTGGAGGGCGGTGGGGTGGGTGGGTGGAGAATCCGCACCACCTCCTGCAGCTCTCGCTTCACGTAGTCCTGCCTGGCGAAGTCGTCAAACGCATTCTTCACTCGCTCCCTCACTCCCTCAATCGCTCCCTCACTCGCTCCCTCACTCCCTCAGCTTCCTGTGGCTGCTTCTCAGCCGCTCCTCCAGCTTAGTCGGCTGGTACAGCGGAAACAGCACCCTCTCCAGCCCCACATACAGCCAGTCACTCCCTCTTTCCCTCACTCGCCCCCCCCCCTCTTCCACCTGCTCTGCCCCATGGTATGCTCCCCAGATCAGGGTTCAGCACGGCAGTCAGCTTCCTGTGGCTGCTCCTCGGTCGTTCTTGGGCTCTTGCTCCCTCACTCTTCCCACACACACTATCTCTCCCCCCCTCTCTCCCCCTCTCCCCCTCACCTGCTCTGCCCCATGGTCCCCAGGTCAGGGTTCAGCACGGCAGTCAGCTTCCTGTGGCTGCTCCTCGGTCGCTCCTCCAACTTCGTCGGTTGATACAGCGGAAACATCACCCTCTCTAGCCCCACATACAGCCCACACGCCAGCGCCAATCTCATCCCCCACGTAGCAGCCAGCTGGATAGTCCCTACTGTGCTGCCTAGGAGACCGGCGGAGGAAGCCGGGAGGAGGGACGGGAAGAGGGAAGAGGAGGAGGGGGGGGAGGGGAGGGCGGTGGGGGCGGCGGTGGTGGTGGCGGAGAGGGTTGAGGGGGAGGTGAAGGGCGCGGGGGGGAAGGCGGAGGGGCGGTTGATGAGGGTGATGTGGGCGAGTTGGCCGCGTAGGTGAGACCAGAGTTCGGAATGCACGTCTGCTGGCATGTGGCGCACCCTGTGCTTCAACCACACCACCTGATGGGAGAGGGGGGACAGCACGCAGCACAGACGGTGGGATGGAGAGAAGAGAGTCAAGGGAGGTGCGAAGAGAGGGGCAGAGAGTCAAGGGAGGTGCGAAGAGAGGGGCAGAGAGTCAAGGGAGGTGCGAAGAGAGGGGCAGAGAGTCAAGGGAGGTGCGAAGAGAGGGGCAGAGAGTCAAGGGAGGAGGGAACAGAGCTCGGAATGCACGTCTGCTGGCATGTGGCGCACCCTGTGCTTCAACCACACCACCTGATGGGAGAGGGGGGACAGCACGCAGCACAGACGGTGGGATGGAGAGAAGAGAGTCAAGGGAGGTGCGAAGAGAGGGGCAGAGAGTCAAGGGAGGTGCGAAGAGAGGGGCAGAGAGTCAAGGGAGGAGGGAACAGAGCTCGGAATGCACGTCTGCTGGCATGTGCCGCACCCTGTGCTTCAACCACACCACCTGATGGGAGAGGGGGGACAGCACGCAGCACAGACGGTGGGATGGAGAGAAGAGAGTCAAGGGAGGTGCGAAGAGAGGGGCAGAGAGTCAAGGGAGGTGCGAAGAGAGGGGCAGAGAGTCAAGGGAGGAGGGAACAGAGCTCGGAATGCACGTCTGCTGGCATGTGCCGCACCCTGTGCTTCAACCACACGACCTGAGAGGGAGGGAAAGGGGGTTGCACACACACCAAGAGGGGGAGCAAGCAGCAGAGGGGGTGGAGCAGAGAGAGAGGAGGGGGGTAAGGGGGGACCAGACTTCTGAATGCACGTCTTTTGAGTCGACTCAAAAGTCACCTCAAAAGTCACCTCAAAAGTCACCTTTTGAGTCGACTCAAAAGAGGAGGGGGGTAAGGGGGACCAGACTTCTGAATGCACGTCTGCTGGCATGTGCCGCACCCTGTGCTTCAACCACACCACCTGAGAGGAGGGATTGGGGGGGAAAGGAAATTGGGAGAGAGGAAATGGGGAGGCAAAGAAAGGAGTGGAGTGGAGTAAGAACCTGACCGAGATTAATGTCGTGAGGGAGAGGCTGTGGGATCGAGATTAATGTCGTGAGGGAGAGGCTGTGGGGCACATGGGTCTTCCAAAGAGTTCTGCTGCTGCTGAGGCTGTGAGCTGCAATATGACCTGCTCTGGAAGGCCCATGTGCCCCAGGGCCTCTGCCTCTTCACCCGCCTCCTCCCCTCGACTCTTCCACCCCTCCAAATATGAACTATAAATCAAGCACACCGTGCCGTGTGAGGCTGTGAGGTGCGTTACCTGGTCTGGAAGGCCCATGTGCCCCACCGACTCTGCCTCCTCCGCCCCTGCCTGCCGCTTCTTGTCTCACTCTGAATCTTTCCCCTTCTTCCTTGCCCCATCTCCCCGCGTACCTGGTCTGGGAGACCCATGTGCCCCACAGCCTCTGCCTCTTCACCCGCCACCTCTCCCGCTTCCCCTGCTGCTGCTCCTTCTGCTGCCTTTGGCGCTGCTTGCCTCGCTGCCTGATTCCCCTTCTTCCTCGCCCCCTCTCCCCGCTTCACCTCCAGCCCCAGGTCCTTGGCGGGATGGGGGAGAATCACTGGCAGCAAATACAAGGTGGGAAAGGGAGAAAAAGAGAAGGAGAGGAGATGGGGGGGGGGGGGGAAGGGCTCTTTCCCTGGATGCCTTAACCAGCTGGTCGCACTGTCTTTTTCCCCTTATTCCTCGCCCCCTCTCCCCGCTTCACCTCCAGCCCCAGGTCCTTGGCGGGATGGGGGAGAATCACTGGCGGGGTTTGGAAAGGAAGGGGGAATGGTGGAAGAGTGGTCAGTGGTCATTCTGCTGCCTTTGGCGCTGCTTGCCTCGCTGCCTGATTCCCCTTCTTCCTCGCCCCCTCTCCCCGCTTCACCTCCTGCCCCAGATCCTTGGCGGGATGGGGGAGAATCACAGGCGGCGAATAAAAAAAGGGGGTTGAGTGGGGGAAGAGGGAGAGGGGGGATGGGCGGGGCGAGAGGAGAGGAGAGGGGAGGGGAGAGGAGAGCGGAGGGAATGGTAAAAAAAAAGGTTGGGAAAGGAGGGGCATGGAGGGATCAGCATGGATTCTTTACAAACCTTCCCAAATTTCACCCTCCCCATCTGCGGCAGCGCCCAGAAATCCGCAAAAAAAAGACTCCATCCAGATTTCTCCGGCTGTGTGCTGCTGTGCTGCCTCCTTCTCTCCTACCTTCCACAAATCGGCCGTTATCCCCATAGTTGACAAACTTCACCCTCCCCATCTGCAGCAGCGCCCAGAAATCCGCTTTGGTTGAGTCCTTCCCATAATAAGCTGCGCCTCTTCTCTCCTACCTTCCACAAATCGGCCGTTATCGCCATAGTTGACGAATTTCACCCTCCCCATCTGCAGCAGCGCCCAGAAATCCGCAAAGTCCATGTCAGCACCGGGCAGGGGGTCCCACTGGCTGCCGCGGAGCCTTCCCAGAAACTTCTTTGCCGCCCGCTTCCACCCGATCCTTGCCACCTCGTCCCGCTCTGCCTGGATCCGAAGCTGCCTCGCAACTTCCTCCTGCTGGTTGAAACTCTCCACTTGGCGTTTCCTTAAGGCCTGAAGAGAGCGGAGAAAAGCGGGAGGGAAGCAGGGGGGTTGCGGAGGAAGAACGGTGGGGGGAAAGAGAGGGGAGCGGCGGGGAGAAGTAGGTTCGGAGGGTAAAGCGGGTGGGGGGGAGGGGAGAAGGGGGGAGAGAGGGAGAGAATGGGTGGAGGGGAGGGGGAGTTTGGTGCGTTTGAGAGGTTGCGGAACGAGAAAGTCCAATCCTTCCCTCAGATGTCTATCCGATGTCCCTCAGAGTAATTTGAGAAGCGTCAACAGCACCAACTCACCTGCCGCTGCCCGTTCCCCATCTTGCATCAAACCCGAACCCTCTCTAAACCCTCGCCATTGATCTCCACCCGCTTCCGTCAACCTTCTTCCTCGTCTTTGGCCCTTCGCACTGCCTGTGCGAAATTTCGCCTATGAGGAACGCGAGAGTGCGAAATCCTCGAGAGTGCTTCGCTCACCTCGAAGAACGCGAGCTGCTTGTCGTCTTCCGTCCCCGCGCGTCCCTTCACCTCGGCAACTCCCGAACCTAGAGCTGGCTCGGCTGCTGCTGCCGGACCTGAAGCTGCCGAGCCTGAGCCCGAGCCTGATGTCGAGCCTGCCTCGGCACGGGCGGTGAGCCTGGAAGGAGTGAGTTTTTGGGATTGACGCCCATGCAGGGCTGGTCGAGTGACTGTACGCGGAGTGCTTGTAACAAAGGTTGAACTGCTCGATCCGACATTGCAAGAGGCCGTACGCTTTACAACCGCGAGTGGCGGAGATTGAGCAATCGAACTCGATACAAGCAGGTGCCTACAAGCGCCGCAAGAACCAGTCGGTTTCGCATTGAACGGTGTAGGAAAACGACGAGATGGCACTGGTGCTGCGATCACTGGCGACTGGACGACAATGTGCGACACTGACAACGATCGCGAGGCCGCCATTGCGATCTAATTTCGCGACGCGACACCGAGGAGGGAGACCTCAAACCGCGAAACTTAGGATCTGCTGCTCGCGACTCTGGTATCATGCGAAGCCGTCCCTCTCAGCAGTGAGCCGCGAAGAACCGTTGAGCACGAGAAGGCGCTCGGAAACGGTTCGTTACCGCCTGATAAGGCGATAAGGAGCAGCGATTCCCGCCGTAACAAACGCTGAAATGCGTGTGCGAGATGTCGGAGGATGTTCAGAGAATGGTTCGAGTGGATGAGGTTGACAGGTCGTGCGACAGACTGTGGATGATAAGGGCAGATAATTCCTAAGGTGTGGTCTCCTACAAAAACAGGAGAAAAATGCTCATGCAAAGGAATCCTAACTAGGCTACAGTAAAAAGCGTAGGCACTAATTTACTTTTAGGGAACATGCTAAACAATATCAATAAGGGCATTTTAGATGGAAAAAAAAGGCGCACATACCGAGAGATATTGTTTTCCCTCATGGACTGAACAAACCATTTAATGCAAGGGCTTAACAGCCATTTTACGCATATGTCCATCAACATTTGGATTCTTCGTGTAGTGGAGGTGTTACATCTGCAAAACGACTTTCCTCCTTTCGAAGCAACAGCAAACCAAACCCTAGCCAGCACCTCTTCAAAACCAAATTGAGGTTTCTTTCTCGCCTTAATTTCTGTGTTGAGGTCTTCAGTTCCCTGTCAGATCCGGAGCGTGCACGGTTCTTTGTCTTCCTTAGCATAGGTCGTGGTTTCGGTAGATTGCTAAGAACCGTTTTGTTCACGTCTCCGCCTTTTGCACGCTCTTAGGGGCCCGATCTTCGTCTCTGGGAAAGGGACCCCCCGACGCACGTTAAGATGCCTTCCGTGGTGAACATCGCGGAGGCGGCAGAAGCGGCGAAGCGAGTCGCCGCCGCCTTTATGGCGGCGCGCGCTTCTGGCCAGTCCGAGGAGCAAGCCGCTGCCGCCGCGTCGTCCGTAGCCAATCCGGAGCCGATTAAGACACCGTCATTCGTTATTCCCAAGAACAAAATCTCGATTCCCGGGCAATCTTTGGCGATCGTGCCGGTCGGGGGAAGCGTTACGAAAGCCGGCGAGGAGGCGGAGGATGATAAGCCGAGGCGCCCTCGGAAGTACCGGTGGGGACCAGATCCGCTTCTGGATCCTGCGACGCGCAGGGGTCGCGCGCTGGCCATTCAGGTACGCCGTCGGTGTTTGAGCCTACATGGTTTTTAGTATGTATGATATTAAAGACGTTTTAGAAGAGTTGGAAGTAATTTTCGGGTTCTGAGATGTTTTTAAAAGCTAGGAGGTCGCTTGGTGATGTTTCAGATCTTGTACTGCTTTGTGTGCCGAGCCGCAATTTGATCTACGAGAACGAGGCCACGCGTTCGTCGTTCCGGCTGATATCTTTATATTTCTTTTTTCGATTTTTTTTTTCCTTTTGTTCCCCGCAGACGCGCATCGAGCAGATCTCGTCGCAGCTGGAGCTGAACACGTTGGAGATTGACGAGAACGAGGCCACGCGCTCGCCGTCCCCGCCGCCGATCTACGACAATATGGGGCAGCGCCTCAACACCCGCGACGTACGTTTTTGCTGTTGGTAATGTTAGTAGACTGGCTTTGTTTTATCATATTCCTTTCCACGCGCTCGCCGTCCCCGTTGCCGATCTACGGCAACATGGGACAGCGCCTCAACACCCGCGACGTACGTTACTACCTTTATCCATCATCAGTCAGCATTGATTTCGACTTTATTCATAATACTCAAAACTGTTGTTGGAATAGATCGTTCGTGTAAGGCAACATGGGTAGAAACATCACACCGCGACGGAAACTATGATCCTTAATAGCAGCTTAACCGTCTTTATCATCAGTATTCCTTTCCATTCATGATTCCAGCTTGCCGGTCTCGTTTTTCGGCGCTCCGTGGTTTTCCGCTTGTGGTGCGGAGGATGCTGAAGATTTTTTTCTCGACTGTCTGAAATTCACTGATACTGATGCTTTTGCCTTTTTTCGGTTTTCTTCTTGCAGCAAAGGAAGCGCGACCAGCTTGACATTGAAAAGCGCAAAGCAATAGGTATTTTGTCTAACATGCTCGATCTTTCCCTGTTTCCCTTCGTTTTCCCATCATTGCGTCAGCATCTGTTGGTTGTATTTGGCTTCTCATGCTGTTTCTTTTGTTTTTTTTCAACCTTTTTTATCTAATTTCCGTGCAGCCGAGTGTATCAATCTTAACCCCCACTTCAAGCCGCCTGCGGGGTACAAGCCTGTGCTCGAGGAGGCGAAGCTCTTCGTGCCGGTAAGTCGCAATAACGAAGTTGGCGAAAATGCAATTTCCGGTTACGAGTTTTCCGCGAACCTGCTGCTGTGTTTGTTGTGTTCCTCGTGGGTTACGTTTGATGAGTGCTTGTCGTGTTGAGAACGGTTCTCGTAGTGTTGTAGCCTTTCTTGTTGTCAGCCTAGCCGGACTGCTGCCTCTACAGCGCATTCTTAATATTATTTCAGGTTCGCGATCCATGTAAACGCGTTAGAATCAAAGTTGGTAGCAGTGCAATTTTAGTCCGCTAAGTCTGAGCGAGAGAAAACCTAATTTTCACATTTCCAAACAATCCTTCTGTACTTCCCTGTGTCATGCGTTAGCCTGCTTTGTTTCGCAAGTGTTTTGCCAGTGGCGGTTGATGACATCCTAACGCGTACAGTTGTCCAAAAGGCGTGGTAATTCCTTTGGCCTACACTGCATCTCCGATATTGCTGCTTCGCCCCTCCCCTCACCTTTTTTGCTCTTTTGTTTGGACGTTTCTGACCTGTTGGCTATTTTCTCTGCTGTGTTTTTCTCGTCTCCCCTTCTCGCACGCTCTGCGTCTCCCGCCCGCCTCCCCTCTTTCCCTCCCCCCTTCCTCTTTTCCTTCTCCCTCCCTCTGCCTTCTTCCCCCCCCCCCCCCCCCTTCCTTTCTCGCCCTCTCTCGCTCTCCCTCTATTTCTTTCTCCTCTCCCTCTCTCGCCCTTCCTTTCTTCCGCCCTCCCGCCTTCCGCGCGCCCTTCTATCCCCGGCTGGCATGCGTCCGTCGTACCGTCCCTATCACACACATGTGTGCGCACTACCGCCGCCCTCCATACAATCACGAGCAGGTCAAGCAATACCCGGGCTACAACTTCATCGGGCTCATTATAGGCCCGCGCGGCAACACGCAGAAGCGGATGGAACAGGTGAGCTCTTGTAGATCGTATTGAAGTGTCTTATGAGGTGTATGTTGCAGTCACGAGCAGGTCAAGCAATACTCGGGCTACAACTTCATCGGCCTCATTATAGGCCCGCGCGGCAACACGCAGAAGCAGATGGAACAGGTGAGCTATTGTACAGGTTGTCAAGGCTGCTTATAAGGTGTATGTTGCAGGCACGAGCAGGTCAAGCAATACCTGGGCTATAGTCTTATCAGCCTTATTGTTATGATTGTGAAAAGGATTCTAGATAAATACACTTGTTGCTTATCTCTTCGCGTTCGCCATGCATTTGTCGTTCTTGATTTCTCGTTCACCACTAATATTAACTTGTTTCTTTTGGTTTGCCCTGGTCGCAGGAAACGGGTGCGCGTATCGTGATTCGAGGGAAAGGCGCAACAAAAGAAGGAAAGGTAAGATTCCCTTGTTTTCTTGCGATACGAAAGGCTACCTTACCTTCAGTCTTACCTGCTCGTCGCTCGCCTGCACCCTATCGCCCGATGGCCCTATCAACGCTCGTCTGCACCCCATCGCCCCATAGCCCTGTCGCTTCTTCTAGTCGTTGTTGATTAAACTACCACGTGGGAGCAAGCGTACGGCTTTTGACACGTCTTTAAAGGTCGGCTGCTCGTTGCACGTCTGTACCCTATCGTTTGTTGAAGTAGCAGGTGTGTGGGTGCGAGGGTGCACCTGCGGTTGTGCGTGTGCACTGCTCAACCTTCTCTCCCGTTATTCGTCCGTGCTTTACTCCCTCTCGTTCCTCTCTTCCTCACGTCACGTCCCGCTCTCTTCTCTCCATTTTCTCACCCCTGCAGAAGGACAAGTACCAGGAGGGAGCGAGCGAAGACCTCCACGTTTACATCTGCGCTGACAAGCTGGAGAAGGTGGATGCTGCCGTTGACATGATTGAACCTCTTCTGACCCCGATTGACGTAAGTAACAGGGTTACCAGGTAGTTATGTTCGTGTACATCTGCGCGGACAAGCTGGAGAAGGTGGATGCTGCTGTGGATATGATCGAGCCGCTGCTCACGCCCATCGATGTGCGTAGTAGGAACGTTGTAGCAGGCGGCTTACCAGGTAGGTGGGTGCGTGCAACAGGCGAGGTAAGGGAGCATGCGTGGATCTGCATGCGTGGATCTGCATGTGTACATCTGTGCGGAGCGGACAAGCTGGAGAGGTGGATGCTGCTGTTGACATGATGGAACCGCTGCTTACTCCCATAGATGTGAAAAACAGGCGGGTTAACAGGTGGTTGAGTGCGTGTATCTCGCTGGGTAAAGGGAGTGAGGATCTGTATGTGAACATCTGCGCGGACAAGCTGGAAAAGGTGGATGCTGCTGTTGACATGATCGAACTGCTGCTTACTCCCGTAGATGTGAGTAGTGTGTGTGCGTACACCTGGTCACTGTGTTTGTGTTCTGGTAGCACCCCCCTTTGATGGTTTGGCTGCTGACAAGCTGGAGAAGGTGGATGCTGCCGTTGACATGATTGAACCGTTGCTTACACCCATTAACGTGAGTAAAAAGCGTGTGACCAGGTAGGTTTGTGTATCATCTGGTTACCAGCTCTTACCTTATCACTGAATGTGTGGATACTGTCGGCATGATTGAATTGCTGCTCACACCCATTGACGTGAGTAACAGCAGCAGCAGCATGTGTGCTTCCTGTGCGGCCAGCGAGATTGAAGAAGGGTTTTGAGACGTCTCACACCCATTGACGTGAGTAGCAGCAGCAGCAGCAGCAGCAGCAGCGTGTGTGCTTCCTGTGCGGCCAGCGACTCTCACAGTGCTCATTCGACCTCTCCGTTCCTCTCTTTTCCTTTTCTTTTCTCTTACCAACAGGAATGGAGGAACATTCACCGGCGCAAGCAGCTGAGAGAGCTCGCGCTGATGAACGGAACGATGAAGGACGTGCAGCAGGTGTGCTTCCTGTGCGGGGAGCCCGGCCACAAGGACTTCCAGTGCCCCAAGGAGAAGCTTCAGACCTTCAATGCCAAGGTCAGTAACCCGGTGGTAACCAGATTGTAACCCAAGGTAGGGTAGGTGCAAACTGTAGAGCAGTAGCGCCAAGAGCGCCAGCAGCAGCAGGTGTGTGCTTCCTGTGCAGCGAGCCGGGCCACAAGGACTTCCAGTGCCCCAAGGAGAAGCTGCAAACCTTCAACCCCAAGGTCAGTGTTACTTTGTGGTAACCAGGTGGTAACCAGGTGTAGGGCAGGTGATAGCAGCAGCAGCACCTACAGCAGCAGGTGTCCCACTAAGAGCTGGTAACCCCGTGGTAACCATGTGGTAACAAGAGGTAGGGCAGGTTGTAACCCTATGAGCTCAACCACGAGCCGGGTCACAAGGACTTCCAGTGCCCCAAGGAGAAACTGCAGATTCTCAACGCCAAGGTCAGATGGTAACCAGAAAGTAACCTGATGGTAACCAGAAAGTAACCTGATGGTAACCAGAAAGTAACCTGGTGGTAACCAGGTAAGGATTCCCAAACACCTATGTGTGATGGCTGGCTGTCAACGCTCCTGCCTATGCTTTCAAGATTCTTAAGAATAATCACCTGTATTGAATTTTTTCACACCCACCTGTGTCTGCCTGTGTTGTTGCCCATGTGTGGTGGTGATTGCAGGTGACGTGCGCCATCTGCGGAGATGGAGGCCATCCGACTGTTGATTGCCCCAGAAGGAGGGCAGGAGGGCCTCCGGTATGTGCCATTCCTCTCCTAGCCTCGCCATCTTTCTCTCCCGTGCATGTCTCTCTCTCTGCCTACCCCTCTCTTCCTCCCTCCATCTGTGGGGATGTGTCTGCCTACCCCTCTCTTCCTCCCTCCATCTGTGGGGATGTGTCTGCCTACCCCTCTCTTCCGCCCTCCTCCATCTGCGGAGATGGAGGTCATCCGACCGTTGATTGCCCCAGAAGGAGGGCGGGAGGAGGGCTGCCGGTATGTGCCCACCCCTCTCCTAGCCTCGCCGCCTTTCTCTCCCGCGCATGTTTCTCTGTCTGCCTACCCCTCTCTTCCGCCCTCCTCCATCTGTGGGGATGTGTCTGCCTACCCCTCTCTTCCGCCCTCCTCCATCTGCGGAGATGGAGGCCATCCGACCGTTGATTGCCCCAGAAGGAGCGCAGGAGGCCCCCCCCACTAAGTTCCTATCTCTCCTCTACCGATCCCGTTGTACCTACCTTGTCCCTCTGCTCTGCCTGCCTGCCTCTACCCATCCCCCTCTACCTACCTCTGTCCTTCAACTCTGCATTTGTGCCTACTTTTCTTCTTCTCGCAACCCGCCTTCCCCCCTCTCCTCAAGTGTTTCCGTTTTGCTTTCGCGTAGCGTTTGTTTTCCCCTGCTGATCTTGCTCGTGCTTCTTAACCGTCTTCCTCCCACAGGGCAAGGGCATGGACCAGGAGTGTCAGTCATTCCTCAGCGAGATCAGCGCCGGCACAGGCGGACCAGACGGAAGGGACGACAGTAGGCGTCAGCAGCTACCTCACTCTGCCCCTCCCCCGGGTGCTTCCCTTTCTCTCCTTCCTTTCTCCTCCCACAGGGCAAGGGCATGGACCAGGAGTATCAGTCCTTTCTCAATGAAATCAACGCCCGCACCAGTCGGCTCTGTGTGTCTTACCAGCTGTTTACCTTTTCCCGTCCCCCTCTCCTGTGCTCCCGTCTCTCTCCTTCCTTCCTCCTCCCACAGGGCAAGGGCATGGATCAGGAGTATCAGTCCTTCCTCAACGAAATTAACGCCGGCAGTGGTGGACCGGACGCGAGGGGCGATGGGAGAGGGGATGGAAGAGGTGACGGTAGGGGGGATGGTAGGGGGGATGGCAGGGGGGATGGCAGGGGGGACGGCAGGGGCGATGGCAGGGGCGGTTATGGAGATCGGAGGGGTGGAGATGGGTACAGGGGTGGTGGTGATGGGTACAGGGGCGGGGACGGGTACAGGGGTGGGGATAGTTACAGTCGTGGTGGTTACAGCGACATTGGTTATGGTGGTAACCGCGGGGGGCCAGGGGGAGGGGGGGGAGCGCCGGGGGGAGGTTCTTATCCCCCGGGGCGGGGTCCCCCAGGGGGTCCCCCCCCCGGGTCCTACCCCCCGCCAGGCATGGGCGGACCTCCCCCCGGCCGCCCCGCGCCCTCGTCCTTCCCCCGCCCGTTCGCCCCAGGGCAGGGTCCCCTGGGGATGCCAGGTCAGCAGCCAGGTCAGCAGGGAGGAAGCGCGTACAGCCACGTGGGCATGCCAGGTCAGCCGCCCATGCGCCCGAGCTTGACTCCTGGTCCGCCTATGGTCCCCCGGGGGCAAGGTCCCCCGCCTGTGGGGGGGTATCCTGCAGGGGGGGCGGGGGGAGCGCCCCCGCCTGGGGGCCCGGGGGGAGCGCCCCCTCCCCCAGGCCCTGGGGTGTATGGTCAGCAGCAGCCGTCGCCGCAGCAGCAGCAGTCTCAGTACCCGCAGCAGCCGCCGCAGCAGCAGCAGTACCCTCCTCCCCAGCAGCAGCAGGGGTACCAGCCTCAGCAGCAGCAGCCGTACGCGCCGCCGCATCAGCAGCCGGGTCAACCGAGTCAACCCGGTCAACCGCCGTCCAGCCGGCCGGCCTGGGGGGATGATCGCGCCAGCAAGCTGCCGAGAATGGACGGTGGGCCGACAGACGCCCCTTCCTCTTACCCGCCGCCCCAGCAACAGCAGACAGGACAAGGAATGCCGCCCCGGCAGCGCACAGGGATTGGGTATCAGGCCCCTCCTCCTGGCCCGTCTGGTCCGTCTGGGTATGGCCCGCCCCGCCCCGCACCTGGATACGGACCTCCCTCCGGACCTCCTTCCGGACCTCCATCCGGACCTCCCTCTGGTCCTCCCGGGCCATCTGGACCAGCCGGGTATGGCCCTCCTTCCGGACCTCCCTCCGGACCTCCAGGACCATCTGGTCCGGGATACGGGGCGCCTCCGCCAGGCCCGTCCGCGGGGCAGAGCTATGGGGCCGCACAGGGGCAGGGGTATGGGTCCGCGCAGGGGTCTAGTGCGGTGCAGGGGTATGGGCAGGGGCCGGCGCAGGGGTCCGCGCAGGGGCAGGGGTATGGGTCCGCGCAGGGGCAGGGTCCGCAAGGATATGCGCCTGGTCCAGCCCCAGGGGGAGGTTATGCCCCCCCTGCTTCCGCTGGCCAGCAGTATCCGCCACAGCAGCCTCCCCAGCAGCAGCAGCAGCAGCAGCAGTATGGGATGGCTCAAGCAGGAGGGGCAGCGCCCGCTCCCCCCGCCTTCCCCCCTCCGCCGCAGCCCAGCTCCCCCCCGCCCCCGCCTCCGCCTCCGCCCAGCAGCGGGGACTCCCCTCCCCCGCCTCCCCCCACAGACCAGCCCGCGCCCCCGCCCATGCCCCCTACCGCGGGCGCCTATGGTGCTCCGTCGTGGCAGCAGCAGCAGCAGCAGCAGCAGCAGCAGCAGGCGCCTCAGCAGCAGCAGCAGCAGCAGCAGCAGCAGCAGCAGCAGGGGCAGCAACAGCAGCAGCAGGGGCAGCCGGGGCAGCAGGGTGGCGGGTTTTATCAACCCCAGCAGCAGCAGCAGCCTCATGCAGGCGGGTTTGTAGCAGGAGGAGCAGCAGCAGGGGGAGCAGGAGCAGCAGGGGCAGGAGCCGCAGGAGGAGGGCCTGGGGCAACTGGACCCGGGATGGGGGGACCAATGGGGGGCGGAATGGGGGGAAACATGGGGGGAGGCATGGGCTATGCCCCCCCCAGGGGTCCGCCTACGGGGCAGCCTCCTTTCACCCCCCCTGCTGGAGCTCCCCCTCCCTACATGCCCGGCCGCCCCCCCATGCCGGGCGGCGGTTACGGTGGTAACCAGTTCGCCCCTCCCCCTCAGTGGGGGCCTGGGACCCCCCTGGGGTTCGGGGGACCTGGTGCTCCCCGCCCTGCCTGGGGGCCTGGGGGAATGGGGGGCCCGGGGGGACCGGGGGGAATGGGGGGAATGGGGGGACCTAGGGGGCCTGGGGGAGCTTCCTCTTCCCCCTTTGGCCCTGGTGGCGCTCCTGGGTTTGGGCTAGGGGGTCCGCCTCCCCCTTTCCCCGGGGCTATGGGGGCGCCCAGGTTCCCTGGTCCGGGTGGTTACCAGCCGGGGGGTCCGGGTTTCGGGGGTGCTAGGCCTTCTGCTGCTCCCCCTGCGACTGGAGGAGGACAGGGAGAAGAAGATGCCGAGTATGAGAAGCTTATGGCATCGATTGGGGTGCAGTAGAGTGTGGAAGGAGAGAACAGTATCAGTCACAGGGATGTTATAGGTGGTGTTTGCAGCGGTGTGTACGAGAGGCTGGGGTGGCAGAGGAGCGTTGATGTGCACGCTGTGACCAACCTGTGTGTGTGAGGGGGCAGGGGGAGGAGGAAGCTTCGGAGTGTGAGAAGCTGATGGCGTCAAATGGTGTGCTGTAGAGGAGAGGACTGGCTGAAAGGGAGGTAACAGGTGCAGGGGTGTTCCGGAGGTTGCAGGGTGTGGAGGAGTGGCTGTGGTGGCAGAGGGGTGTAGATGGGTGTTGCTATCTGTGACCAACCCCTGTGAGCAGGCAGGGGGGAACGGTTGATTTGGAGAATTTGTTGGTGTGTAGGTCTGATTTCCGTGTGGAGCTAGGTTTTCCTGTCTAACTCCTGCCCTGACGCTCCCTCTCCCCCTCCCCCCTCTCCTCCCTTAGTCGTTCCCGCCTCTCCTCCCCTCCACCTCCCCTCCCCCCCCTCCTTCCTCTTTCCCCTTCTTCCTCCCCCCCCCCCCCCCTGTGTCGCACTCTTTTCTGGTTCGTTATGGGATTCACTACTTGTGGTGGTTAGGAAGGGTATGGATGCGCTGTTATGATAAAATGGTTTAAATGTTCAAGATGCTATTCTTTTGCCTGTATTGCTTGATGCTGCGAGCCTCCACCCGAACTAATTATTGCAGTACAGTAACCCTCCGTGCGTTTGCATGAATGGCATCCGCTTTGTGCATTATCGGACTCGCCCGTGACGAGTTGGATTGATGTGCCCATGATCTCATGCGTGAGACCTCCGCATCGTCCAGTCAACAAATTTCTTGCACACGCCAGCTATCGTGCATAACTGCCAGGTGTGCATCCATGTTTGCGGCTGGATTTTGCAATTCCACGAACCTTGGGCGGAATGACTGTGGCAGTGAGCTGCTGGATTTTGCAATTTCACGGTGATTGGGCGGGGATGCGGGGAAGGCCCACCACATCCCAGCAGTGACGGGCTTTCACTGTGTTCTTTCGCTTCTTTCGCTCGCCGAAGCAGAATCGGTATTTGTGCTTGCAAGCGATGTGAGCGAACGCTGGCGGCAGATCAAAGCTCGTAACCGTGCTCACCCCAGTAGATCGTGGCAGCAAGTAAGTTCCAGGGTTGAGAGTAGGGGCGCTTGCGCCCCCTGAGCACGAAATGTTATTCTGCTAGGGTTGAGTTGAGAGGGGCGCTTGTGCCTAGAGTACGAAATGTCCCTTCTGCGAATCTCTTGAGTTTCGGAGACTCCGGGTCGCAGGAAAAAAAGTCGCATCCCATGTTCCTGGGCAGGCTGAAACCTCACCTGAAAAACTGTCGCTTGCGCGAAGGATCTTGTATCCAATCAGAGGGCAAGCGATGTCAAATTTGAAATGCCTCCAATCACGCTCCGTGTTGCCCTGCCAGGGTCGTATCGCTGCCTCCCCTCGCCAGTCCGAATCGCTGTTCTAGTCTACAGTGGGTGTACATGTACAGTATTGGAGAATGCCCTTGACTTGTGTGGTCAGTATGATTAAACCACGTTCACTGAATACCAGATGCCAGAATTGCAAGGCTCTGTAAACTACATGTTTTTTGTGAGGGATATTGGATAGCGACCCTGCAAATCACCAATCTGTGGGGGAGATCTGATAACTAACATGTTTCGCAACCACAGTCGACACTGTACGCTGTCTCCTTTTGCCGGGGCTCTTTTCAGCATTCCTCCTCCCTAAGTAGACCACTCTATTTCTGGAATGACAGTGACAGTAGAAGTCGACAAGCTACTAAATGCCACTGGCGTGTTCCCTTTAGAGTGGGTTGGCGGGAAGGGGAGGAGGGCAGGAACAAATATCCCCACGTTTGGTTGCGTTCGAACTGAAATTATCTTCAGGGGAACGTCTCCACTTATCCCACACAACCAGTGACCTTATTTAGTAGTTCCTCTTCACACCCTCTCACCCACCCAACTTTCTCATCTCAAGTGCAGGATTTCTGCTGGGTTCGATGGGAGCATGTCCGAATCCTGCAGAAATAAATACACTGCTAAAATACATACGTAGTGCAGAGAAAGCCCCAGAAAATTGTTGAGTACGTCGCCGGAAACACACTACGGTGCCGGGTGAACCTAGATTACCGCTCTGTTTCCGCAAGTCCCCCAAAACAAATCATGGTTCAAAACACTCTGCTGCTGACCCCCCTGGCTAGCAGTCTGTCGGAAGGGGATGAGAGGCTTCCTCTCTTCCTTCCCCACCTTCCCCCGTTCCTTCGATCTTCCCCCATTCCCAAACATTCCCCCCCTCCCCTTCCGCTGAACTGTACTCCCCCCACACCTCCTCCTCCGCTCCCCCTCCGTTGTTTCCCAAACTTCCCTCGCTTTCCCCCTCCTTCCCTGTCCCCCTCCCTTTTTCCCCCAACCAATCCGCCAGCACATTTCACACAGTGCCTCCGCTTCGCGTTCAAGCGCGACTGTATTCCGCCTTCCCCTACCTGCCCGCCGACGTCACCCTCCAAGAAGTGACTCGCAACACTGGCAGCCACCCACTCACCTGCTCTGCCTGCTCGCCTCGTCTTGTTGTCACGTCTATCTAGCTTTCACCACTTTCGTTTGCGCCTGCTCCCGCGCGCGCCTGTCAAGAAGCACCCTCCTGCCTACGGCTTTCTGCCGCCTTCATGCTCCTCCTCTCCCCTCCTCCCCTCATCCTGCCCTCCTCCCTCACTCGTTCCTCGGGCCTGCATCAGCAACACTCTCCACTCCAACATCCGCCGAACGAAACCTGTTGACCGTCGCGGTGATAATTTCAGGTGAAGTAGAAAGAAAACACACGAGGCGAGACGAGACATTACAGACAGACAGCATCAAAGCATCACAGAGCATCACGTGGGACAGAACGAGACATCCGAGAGACGTATGAGACAGGCAAGAACCTTGCTCCCTCACATCACGGCCCTAATTCTGCATCGCAGCGGTTTAGTGGAAAACTGTATTTCTGCTTCCATTTGACCGTCAGTCAAGGGCACGGTAGGGACTCTGTCATTTCGCTGCTTCCCTCCTCCTGAGCTTGGACCTGCGGCGCAATTAAATCAGCGCTCTAGTAAATAGATCCGTTGGTAGATACTCCGCCGACATTCCCGCTTAGGTCAAAATTGCGCAGCCCCATAGGAGCGAGCGCGCGGAAACAGAACTGCGCGGAGGCGGAACGTTGCGAAGGCGGAATTGCGCGCCGAAAGATTGAGCGGGAAGTCCAGCAGTAGCGCGGAGCTTGGACAGCGCGCGGAAATTGCGTAGCGCGGAACTTGGGTCGCGCGGCGACGCGAGCGAGCAATGTGCGTTACTCTAGGCGGCTCAATAATAGCTCTCGTGGATTCGCGATTGGCAATGTGCGCGGCGCGGAGGTAGGCGGAGCGCACCAGGCGTGTCTTAGATTAGCGGCGAAGGGAGGATTAGAAGGGAGCAGAACATATATTCAGTAGGCGACGCGAGAAAAAATTGGCGGTACAATGGCCGGCGCGGGGACGGGAGCAATTTTCGCTCGAGAGGGAATGCACGCGGAGGGGATTCCGGGGACGGAATTGCGCGCGCATGGGAGGATGGCTGGCGCAGAAGGATTGGGGGAATTTCCGCCGGTTGCGGAAGCCCGCGAGGGGGGCGGGGGGGCCGCGGGGAGCGAGTGGTCCGCGGAGAAATACCGCGACTTCGTGGAGAGTATCGTGGAGGAGAGCGCGCGAATGGCGGAGCAGCAGCGCGGGGAGGGCGGAAATTTGGGGAGCGGGAATTCGCAGCAACATCATCAAAGAACGCAACACATGCAAGGTCAAAGCAGGCCGCGCAAACAACGGGCGGGAGGTGGAGGGGCAATTAACGGAAGGAGCGCAACAGGGGGGGCGCATGTTGCCGCTGCTCCGTCGGGCGCGAACGGCGAAACTGGTAACGGCGATTCTTCGCAGGCTGCTGCGCTGGCTTCGGTGTTACAGTTTTTCGCGGACTCGTTGGCGCAACACGAGGGGGGCACGGCGGAGATTCCGCCGTCTCCGTCAAGCAGCGCGCAGGCCAAAGCGCGCTCGCCGCGCGCCACGTCAGATCCCGCGGGATGCGCGGCTCCGCAGGACCGTGGAGGCGCAAGCGGCGGCGGAAATTGCGCCGCGAACGGCGCTGGTGGTGCGGAATGCGCGAGCGCGTTGAGCGCGGATGCGACAGGCGGCGCGGCGGATGCAGCGCGGGCAGCGGAGAATTCGTTTGGCGGAAGTAAACCCGACGAAATGCGCGACGGAAGCGCGGAGTTATTTGACTTCGGAAATTTTCGTATGGGCAGACAAGATTCCGATCCGGGCAGGGGCGGCGGAACTTCGGGTGGAGCGCTATTGGGCGGAAATGGTCGCGGGGAAAAGGGACCGAAGAAAAACGGGCAGAAGAAGGGGCAGGCGGGTAGAGGAGTGCAGAGGAAACAACAGCAGCCGCCGCCGCCGCAGCAGCAGCAGCTTAACTGGAATTCGCCGAACCAATTTGCACCTTCACCGAGCCAGAATCTGCTGAGCCAAATCAGCGTATCACCGAACCAAAATGGGTTGCCGAACCAACTCGGGCTTTCACCAAACCAGAACGGTCTGACAAATCAGTTCGGGACTTCACCGAACCAAAGTGGTCTACCGAACCAGCAGGAACAGTCCCTTCCCAGCAAGCACGCAGTCTGTAAGATCCCCCTTTGTCAATCCAGAAGCGGTTACAAAATTATCTACACAATCTAAACTCGCAGCTCTTATGAGAAATTTCATACTTGATTGCAGAATAGCCTGCCCATGGTAATTACCCATTGCTCTTGTTCATTTTTCCTCGTACTGTGCTCTTCCGTCTCTCTCCTCTGCTTTCCGCATTCTTCCCTTTCTCCTCCTTCCTGTGCCCACAACCCCTCACCGCCCCCATCCCCACCGCAGGTCCCCCCGCGCCCCAACCTCCCCCCTGCGCGCCCCCATCAGTCCCGCCTCTGCTTTCCCCCTGCGAGAATCACCTCAACTCCAAACACATACCTGCCCGAAATACTGCCCCGATTTCTGCCCCGGGCACAAGGAAATTCGTGCTCGTGGGGGCTCCAAACCCCCCAGCCGCCCCTCCTGCTGCTGCTGCCGCTGCTGCTGCTACTTCACCTTTTTCTCCCGGGAACCCTAATCCGACAACCAAAACAGGGCCCCTCGCTCCCCCTTCCCCGCTCGCTCCCCCTTCCCCGCTCGCTCCCCCTTCCCCGCTCGCTCCCCCTTCCCCGCTCGCTCCCCCTTCCCCGCTCGCTCCCCCTTCCCTTCTCGCTCCCCCTTCCCCGCTCGCTCCCCCTTCCCCGCTCGCTCCCCCTTCCCCGCTCGCTCCCCCTTCCCTTCTCGCTCCCCCTTCCCCGCTCGCTCCCCTTCCCCCACTTGCTTCCCCTCCCCCGCTTGCGGGAAAGCGGGTGATGCCACGTGGGCAAGCGCAAGCAATGGGGGGCGGCGGAAGAGGAGGCGGAGGAGGAGGAAGGGAGGACGAATTTGTGCATGAGTTTATGTTGAGGGCTAATAGCGAGACTCTCAGTGGAAGCACTCTGTCAGAAGGGCAGCAGCAGGAGCAGCAGCAGCAACAGCAGGAAGGGGAGGAGGAGGAAGAGCAGCAGCAGCAGCAGCCGCAGGAGCATCAGCGGCAGCAGGAGGAGGAGGAGGAGCAGAAGCAGCAGGTGCTGCAGGGATGTGACTATACGCAAGCGGCTGGGCATGCACATGGTGATTGTAACGAGCAGGGGGTTGCTACAGGGATGGAGTGTGCTTTTGCTGATAATACTGCTGCTGACCGTGCTGTTCCTGTTGGTGTTTCCATGCCGTTACAATCTGGTAGCCGCTCAGCTGCTGGTGCGAATGGTCCGGGAGAAGCAGGAGCAGGAGCAGCAGCAGCGACAGAAGCAGGCGAAGGGATGGAAGCACAGGGAGGCCCGGTGTTCAGCTTTGGTTCGGGCCAAGTCTCGGAGCAAGGTCCGGCGCGAGGTTCGGAGGGAGGTTCGGAACAAGGGAAAGACCGGGAGCAGGAGCAGGGTGCAGGAGCAACTGAAGGGATACTAGAAATGCGAACGGTATTGCCTGGTGTGACTGTAAAGAATGTGACTGTAACGGGTGTGACAGGACACGGTGGGGCTACGAAAGGGGGTTGGAAGGAGGACTTTATAGTGAGTGGTTCGGAGCATGGTTTGTGGCTGTCGAGCCTGACAGATTTCCAAACCAAGAAGCTCGAGGAGTGGTTCGGCACGGACCTGAACCCGTCTCCGGAGCAGAGGGCGAGCGTCGGCAAGAATCTCGGGCTGCTGCCACAGCAGGTACGCTCTAGCAACAACAGATTGAGTCCATATCTTTCTGCAACAACAGCAACGATCAGCAGCACATTTCCTCTCTCTCTTGTTCTCTCCCTCCTCCCCTTCTACTCCCCTTCCCCCCCCCCACCCTCTTCCCCACCTCCAGATATCCTCCTGGTTGCATCACCGTCGCCTGCAACACACAGTGCAGCAGCAGCAGGCAGAGCTCGAGTCCCTCCGATCAGCCTTCTCCCATTTGTCAGTCCTACCCAACAACGCAACTCTCTTGGCAATTTCTCTCCCCTCTCCTCCCATCTCTCCCCTCCCCTCTTCCCTTCCTCCAGATCGCCTCCTGGTTGCATCACCGTCGCCTGCAGCACACAGTGCAGCAGCAGCAGGCAGAGCTCGAGTCCCTCCGATCGTCCTTCTCCCGCCTACAAGCATCAGCGAGTGGCATGAGCGGGGATTATGAGCTTCTTCAGGCGGACTATTTTGCTCTCTTGGACAAGAAGGAAGAGCTAACCAGCAAGGTGAGAAGGTGTAGAGCAGGTTGAGAAGTGGTGTAGTGCGGTGGAGTCCCTTTGATTGGCAAGTGGCATGAGCGGGGACTACGAGCTTCTGCAGGCTGACTATTTCCCTCTCTTGGACAAGAAGGAGGAACTCACATGCAAGGTGAGATACGGGGGGTGGTGTGGGATGACAAGGAGTGTGGTGCGGTGGAGTGGCATGAGCGGGTGTTATGAGCTTCTGCAAGCTGACTATTTCGCTCTCTTGGACAAGAAGGAAGAGCTAACCAGCAAGGTGAGAAGGTGTAGAGCGGGGTGAGAAGGGGTGTTGTGCGGTGGAGTCCCTCCGATCTGCCTTCTCCCGCCTACAAGCATCAGCAAGTGGCATGAGTGCGGACTATGAGCTGCTTCAAGCGGATTACCCCACTCTCCTGGATAAGAAGGAGGAGCTAACCAGCAAGGTGAGGGGTGATAAGGGGTGCAGTGCGGTGGAGTGCGGACTATGAGCTGCTTCAAGCGGACTACCACACCCTCCTGGATAAGGAGGAGCTAACCAGCAAGGTGAGATAATAAAGAGCACAACGAGGGGTGAGAAGGGGTGTAGTGCAGTGGAGTGCGGACTATGAGCTGCTTCAAGGGGATTACCACACCCTCCTGGATAAGGAGGAGGAGGAGCTAACCAGCAAGGTGAGGGGTGACAAGGGGTCAAGGGAAGGGTGATAAGCAATCTACGTTTTTGTGATAAGCATCAGCAAGTGGCATGAGTGCGGACTATGAGCTGCTTCAAGCAGATTACCACACCCTCTTGGATAAGGAGGAGCTAACCGGCAAGGTGAGACACAGGGCACCACAACGAGGGGTGATAAGGGTTAAAAGGAAGGGTGATAAGCAAGGTACGCCTTTGTGATAAGCATGCACAAGTGGCGTGAGCGCAGACTATGAGCTTCTCAAGGCACATTATCATGTGTCCCTGGATAAGGAGGAGGAGCTACCCTCCTTGGTATGTGATTGTGATGAGCATCCGCAAGTGGCATGAGCGGGGACTAGGCGCTACACAAATTGAATTATCACGCGCAACTGGATAAGGAGGAGCTATCAGAGGGGTGATAAGGGGTGTAGGGCAGGGTGATAAGCAAGGTAGCCTGTATTGATAAGCGCATCCACGAGGAATAGGTGATTATAATCTTCTTTGGAATGATAATCTGGATTTTCCATACCAAACAAGTTCTTTGTGCTTGTGCGAAAGGAACAGACTGTGTAAGACATTTCATGCGCGTCCCGTCCTCTCCTCTCCCTTCACACCTCTCTCTCTCATCCCATCCCTCTATGCACCTCTTTGACCTGGTTCAGTTTGAAGTTTAACACTTTGAAGTTTGACACTTTTAAAGTCAAACCAAACACCTCCCTCTCGCCGTTTATTTCTTACTCCCATTTCCCCCTTTTCCTCTCCACCCTGCTACAGCTGTCTGACGTGGCATCCAGGCTGGCAGCAAAGCATCGTTCCTTGAGCTCGGGCAATCCAGGCAGTTCTGGGGGAGGCGTTTCCCAGACAGGTGTTTTTCGGGCAGCTTCTGCAGAAGCAGGTGTTGATCGGGCAGGTTGGAACCGGCCCGGTGCCTCTGCAGAGGAGGGACGAGCAAGGGTAGCAGTTGCAGCAACAGGAAAGAAAAACCTGGCTGGGGTTGGAGTGAGGAATTGGTCTGGAGGGGCACTGGGGACAATGATGGGTAATGGAGGTGACTATGCTGAATGTGCTACTATCGCGATCGCAGATGCTCCTTCAGACACAGCTGCTGTTTCTCCTGGCACTGCTGCTGCCAATGCTGCCGCTGCTGCCGCTGTGGGTACCACTGCTGCTGTTCCCGTTGCTGGTCATGGTGATGGTTCTGCAGCTGCTGTTGCTGCTGCTGGCACTGCTGCTTGTGTGGCAGAACACGGAAGAGAACAACTAGCAGGGAAGGGAGGAGATGAGGAGGGTGTGCAAGGATCCAAGAGTTTCCAAAACAGCAACCACGAAACGAGTATGGAGGAGACAGGGAGTGACAAGGAGAAGGAGGAGGCGAATGCTGATGCTTCACGTGCTGCTGGTGGTGTTGGTGCTGACGATTACGGCCGTATGGCTGGTGCTATGACTTTCGATAGTCAACTCAAGGCATGTGGAAGCATGACGTTCTTGCATCACCAGCCTTCTCAGCAGCAGCAGCAACAGCAGCAGCAGCAGCAGCACCAGCATCAGCACGTCGATACCACAGCAGAAGCACAACCAGAAGCAGACGCTTGCGCAGCAGCAGCCGTGGCGGCTGCGGCAGAAGCAGCTGTGGAGTCCATGTGTACACCAGCATCAGCATTGGAATCAGCACCAGAACAATACACCACGTCCCTTTCACTGCAAATCCGCCCAGCTGCTACAGCTGCTGCCAACTCTGATGCTGCTGCTGCTGCCACTGCGGATGGCACTGCTGCTGGCAATGCTGATGCTGCCGCCACCACACCTACTACTTTCTTCGCGTTTGGGTCGCTACAAAGCTCAGTCTCCCCCGGTTCATCCCCCACACTGGTCTCCCCATCGCCTCCCACCTCTTCCCACCACACTGAGTGCACTCCATCTCCTCCTCCTCCTGCTGCAAATCCTGGTTCCAGCCATCCTGATTCTTGGCACTTAACTAAGAGACAGAGGAGACCATTTGACAGAACTTCTGTGGTAGAAGAAGCAGCAGAACCAGCTGCAGGATTCCCATCAGCAGCAGCAGGAGAAGCTTCAGGAGGGGTCACAGCAGCAGCAACGACAACACCAACTGCAGCAGCAGCAGCAGCAACGACAACACCAACTGCAGCAGCAGCAGCAGCAGCAGCAGCAGCAAGATCAATAGGGTCCCAAGAAACTCATGCATTCGTCCCTCCATCACTCTTCCCTCCCACCTCCCCTGGCATCTGGGCACAAGATACACCTGATACATCACCTGATACTGCTGGTAACATGCCTGTTACAATCACTGGTTCTGCGGTTACCAGTAACACCATGCTGCAGGAGAGTCTGAATGGTTCAGGGCCTGCTGATTGTGCCAGAGCTCCACCAGACCTGTTCCCCACGCTGGCTGGTAAGCCACCGAACCTGCTGCTCAGGTTTGGAGAACAGGAAGATGCCGAGCCTGGATTCTCCGGTATGGAGGCCCTTGGGGATCTCAACTCACCCCATGGATTTTGGGACCACACTGAATGACTTGTGCTAGGGAGTACATTGCATGCTGCTTATGCTATTACTTAGTAGCTTATACAGTACAACTCTCCCCCCAACTCTTTACACGTGTTGATGTTTTGTTTCTCCCTGTTTTCCTATCTTTTAATAATGCATGGTTCAATATGTTGGAAACAATCGGTCCTAAGCGCCTCTGTCGTGTCGAAACACTAAGGCACAAGCGAAGCGAAGCATACCGAAGCACCTGCGAGTCAACCTTCGGAGGTTGAAGCAACCGCTGGAGGTTACTCGAAAGTCAAAGGTCAGCGACCTTTGACCTGACAAGTACAGCGCGACAGCAAGGACACACAACTGACTCGCTACAGAGCAGTTGCCCGAGTCGTCACTATATCGAACCGCAACAGCAACAGTAAAAGTAGTTACAACCGTATCTCTTCACATTCCTTGTACTCTTAAATATTCTTGTATCTCTTTGCTTCAATCAACTTACTTTGCCCTCACATACTAGCGCAAGGTGGTTCAGAATCCCTTTATTAAAACGCTTCCGCTACTACATCACTCTACCCAGAGATTAACCCTTGTCAAATGTTGTAGCCTGTAGTGAGGTTTGTCTTAGGGGGTACAGAAGTTAGGGTTTGTCATATGTACCCCAACCAACATCAATGGACACATCATTCCTCATTCTGACATGGTATCAGCTAGGTTAGGATCCTGTGGGATCCCGTTCCTCCGTTCTCCGTTCGTACCTCCCGAGCCTGATCCTACCTCTCGTTCGTACCAGTTCCGTTGTTACCGAGCCTAGCGCCCTTTCCCCCGTCGCTTAGCGCCCTTTCTCCCCGTCGCCTAGCGCCCCCCCCCCCCCGTCGCGTCGCGCCCTTTCCCCCCCCCCGTCACGCCCTTTCCCCCCGTCGCGTCGTGCCCGTTCCCCCCGTCGCGTCGTGCCCGCCTGTTCCCCCCCCGTCCCGTCGCCCTGTCCCGTCGCGTCGCCCTACCCCGTCCCGTCGCCCTGTCCCGTCCCGTCGCCCTGTCCCGTCGCGTCGCCCTACCCCGTCGCGTCGCCCTGCCCCGTCCCGTCGCCCTGCCCCGTCGCGTCGCCCTGTCCCGTCGCGTCGCCCTGCCCCGTCGCGTCGCTCCCGCCCTTTCCCCCGTCGCGTCGCCCTGCCCTACGCCCTGGCCCGTCGCCCTGCCCTAAGCCCTGGCCCGTCGCCCTACCCTAGGCCCTGGCCCGTCGCCCTCCCTAAGTCCTGGCCCGTCGCCCTACCCTAGGCCCTGGCCCGTCGCCCTACCCTAGGCCCTGGCCCGTCGCCCTACCCTAGGCCCTGGCCCGTCGCCCTCCCTACGCCCTGGCCCGTCGCCCTACCCTAGGCTCTGGCCCGTTGCCCTCCCTAAGCCCTGGCCCGTCGCCCTACCCTAGGCCCTGGCCCGTTGCCCTACCCTACGTCCTGGCCCGTCGCTCTAGCCCGCTCTTCCGCTGCGACTGAGTCCTCTTCCCCCCCGGTTGTTACTCGCCTGTTCGTTCGCTTTAGTCCTCACTATGGCGACTCCGCGAGTTCTTCGTTTCGACGCTGACGGTAGACCCCTTGACTTTTCCGTCTGGCTTCTTCGCGCTCGCCGTCTGTTAGAGAGTCAGGTCCAGGGGGGCGAGACCCTCTGGTCACACGCTACTGGTGACCTCCCTGAGCCCCCCGAGCCTACAGCTTCAGGCCCTGCTCCTGACGACGCTGCTACGGCTCGCTTTGCCCGTCAGCGCGCTGACCGGACGGCTTGGACGTCGCGTGACGCTGCGGCCTGCATCGCACTCAGCAGCCTCCTCCCTGAGTCCGAGGAGGTCCACTTTACTCAGGTTCGCACCGCTGCTGCGTACCTCACTGCGATTAAGGCCCGCTACTCTACTCCCGCTACTGTCTCTCTTGGCCGTCTTTTCCTCCCGTTCCTGTTTCCTGATCTTGCCTCGTTTGAGCGCTCTGCTGACTTGATCGCTCACCTCCGCTCGCTCGACGCTAGTTACCGCGCTGCTTGCACTGAGGCACAGCTTACACTGCTTCCTCCCCCCATGGCGATCACTGTCTATTTCATCGCCACTAGCCTCCCTGACCGCCTTGCCTCCGTTCGTGACGCGCTTCTGCTGAAGCACCCTAGTGAGCTGACTATCGAGGTCCTTGAGTCTGCACTCAAGGACGTCGAGAGCAACCTTCGTTCGGTAGCTGCCGCCTCTGGTACTGTGTCCCCCCCACTCTTCCACGGGTGCACAGTCCCGCAGTTACCCACCTTCACTGCCTCTCTAGCCACTGCCGCTACTGACGCGACTGT